ACCATAGAACAAACATTGGGTCAGGTATGTATTTACATGAACTTCTTTAGTATTGAGTTATGAAAAAATATAAATAGAGGTGGTAACCTTCATTCGTTATTTCCGTTTAAAAGCTATTTCAGTCCTCTTTCATATGGTACCAAATTTGTTTAATTTGGATAAGCGGTTTCTTTATTATCCGGATAGGACGTTTATTTCGGAGTAAAAAATGTTAGGCCAAATTTAACTCAGAAAAAAATAACTGTTATTTTCGGTCCCTGGAACATTGTGCAAGTGCACAGACGTATATCTAACCAGTCACAGAAGAAAGCATAAAAAATGAGTTACAAAAAATAAATTGAAAAACGCTGATGACGTGACAAATTCCGAGACAACCAAAATAATGAGAATGAAGAATTCTTTCGAAAAAAACGGTGTTTAAACAACGATTGTGCCATGATGCTAGATTGTAAAGATGAAAGTCAGGAGGATACATTCGACACTTGCAGCCCCGATAAAATTCTCAAAAAGTAATAACTGCATTGCAATAAAAATAAATAAATATAACTGAAAGTCCTCTCAACTGGTGCAGTGTCAATCGAAAAGAATTTACAATTTTGTCAAGTTTCAAGTTTTTCAAGTTTATCGCCTCGAGCGAGTAGTTATATAGTGGCGCAGGTTTGATTTACGACCCTTCAAAAAGTTTTTATTAAGTACAAAATTCAAGTACTAAAAAAACATTCAGTCTTATCATGAGTTTAATTTTCCCAGAACCGGTTCACTTTTCACTTTCGGTTTTCATGTACATATTTAGTATATGGCTCATTCCACGGTAATCGATACCGAATGAAACGAAAATAAACTAAAGAATATGACTGTATTATTTCCAGTAAGTAAGAGTAAATAAATCTAACTTTCAAGACTGAAAGCCAAAATTCTGAAATTTATCTCAAAATCAGATCTTTTTTACTTTAGGTTGTACCATTTACAAACCCATATGAGAGGTTAATTTTTTTCAAAATTTACAAGACTGATTTTCGTAGTCTATTACCTTTTTTGCATTGTTTAAACCGTCAGTGGAGAGACAAATTCGTTAGCATTGTAACGGCGTAATTTTCAAATTTTTCGGGCAAGTGCTAAATATTTTATTATATATTGAAGCAAAGCATATTTTAATATCACGCCCGTCACAAGGAAAACACATCTTGGACAGTGTAAAAAAGCTGACGAAAGTAACGCTATGACACAGGGAAATATTTGTGAATTCCTTTTAAGTATTTATATGCTTTTAGTTTCGAAAAAAGAACCGATTATGTTGGTCACGCCCATCACATGTCACACCCGCCACAATTTAAAGTTTGATAAACTTCAATAAATTCGGCCAGGGACTGCTACCGTTACTTATCAGCTATTCTGAAATGTGTCATATATCTGTTTGTGATCAGCGATGATAAAGCTAATCATAAAGATATGTTGCTCGAGCGATGGGAAAACTTAAGCTATGCTGTCACGGATAAAAAGATATCATTACTTCGCTTGTCAGGGCAAAAAAAGTATCTGAAACGGTTTTTTCAGGTAACGGCCTCGGTTTGACAGGTAATAGCCTCATACTATTTAAAAATAAGGTACTTTACAATTACTAAGACATACAATGGAGAAGAAGAGTCCGATCAAGGATTATCCCGTCTTTAGGTGGCAGAATCTTGTATGTGTTCGTAAAATCCGACTTTTTGAGAAATAAAGTTAGCATAGTTGTCTAATAATGTGTATTTATGTATTCATGCTCAACTTGTCACACCCGTCACAAAGTCAAGTCACACCCGTCACAGTTGAATTCGGAACATATAATCTATAATTTCCAATAGCGGCAAGCAACTTTGGCGTAAATGTTGAGAATGTTTATTTAACTATACAACGAACTATTTAAAACCATAAGCAGAAGACATAATTAGCAGAAAAACTCTGTTGCAAGTAAGGAGTAGTTAATTTGGTTTGCGTACTCGTCACACCCGTCCCAGTGTTTAAAATTCAGATAACTCGTTCGGATTAAATTGTTTTTGGAATTTTTATTCCAGGCATTGTGTATATCTCGGAAACCTTTTACAAAATACTCGTTTTAAAGAATTTTGTATTACAGTTTAAGAATTAACCCTTAAAATGTGAGTTGAAATGTCACACCCGTCACCGTGGAATGAGCCATATATATTATATTTTTCAGGATAAGGAAGATTTACTATGGGAGGAATACAAATTTTCGGGTGAATTTTTTTCGGGCAAAACTCAGGATAAGGCAGATTATTAAAAATTATTAACCTTTCCTTTTTGATTTACCTAAATCATCTAATTTACCCACCTAGATTATTTCTTAAAAATACATGACATCCGCATTCGCATCCGCATCCGCGGATGTTAGCATTTAAACATCCGCATCCGCATTCGCATCCGCGGATGTCTAAAATTCCACATTCGCAACATCCCTAGTTCAGAGACAGTTCTGAAATTTGTAGGTAGGAACTAGCGCTTTGCCAGACTGTCTAAATTTTGCTGCAGGGAAGAGACAAACTATGTCTGTGTGTGTGCTGCTATTGGGAAAGATCGGTAATAACTCGGATTTAAAAAAATACAACGAAATTCCGTTGACAGCATTAACAAGGTCCGAAAATGGAATAAGATGGATATAGTATTGAGAATATTGGAAAATTTTTGAGGATAGTTGGACAATTTAAAAATTGATATTCATGATTTTGTAAATTTTTGTTGCAGATTCTATTTACTATTAATTTACATTGCTTGGTAGGAAAAAATATTAACATATTTGAGTTCCTGGCTAAAAACTACCCCTTGAAACCTGGGGATTTTTTGTATTAGTTCGAAATAGCTGCCAATTATACATATTTGGGTTTTAAGACGATAATAGAATTATATCAAAAAGTTTTAACGTTCAAATACGATTCGCTAATCTGATATTCAAGATATTGGGAAAGTATTTGAAAAAATTTCTGTGGGCATGTAGTGCAACTCATTTCTCTACTAATATGATGAAAAGATGAAAACAATTTTTTTTTGAACCGGTCGAATGTTCTTACATACCTAGCATATGTATAAGTTCTTATGCATTGAGTAAAAAATACCGTGTTTTAGTATAAAACGAAATGAAATTTTATGTAATGTACATAAATGTGATATATCTGTGTTCTTATGGAAAAGTAGCTTATGTCGAAAGGCTGGCTTTAGCATAAATCGGCATTCGCAGCATACGATTGCGAATGACTCACCGGCGCTGAGCCTTGAACAACTTTCGGCAAATAAACGTGCAAGAAATAGTTCCGATACTAGCAAGTCAATATTCTTGTTAAGTCTCATCCTAAAATTCCTTGTCGTTTAAAGAATAAAGGGAATGCCGCATTATACTAAAGCCGGCCTTTCGACATAAGCTACTTTTCCATACGAACACAGATATGTAAATTAGGGCGGGTCAAGGTTTTTGCATTAAGAGCACATCGCGATTATGGATATTTGGTTAATTTCAAGCATTTTTGCCTAAGAAATNCAAAAAAGGGCCCCCAGCAATGCAAGGAATGTTCAACGTCGAAAAGCTGCAATCAAAACAGACGGCCAATGGATTCGGCGCTCGACCCTCACACCTGCTGTGAGAGAGCACTCTTCAACAAACCGACTTGCGCGATCAGTGAAACCACACTTCCCGCTCATTACTGGTAGAGCATGAAATGGTATTACCACTTTGGTCCGATGTTTGTAAGTACCAGAATAAGAGGAGATAGACCCATTAAAATGTATACTTAAATGATTAGAACGTCGAGCTGAGTTGATTAAGCCATGTCCGTCTGTCTGTCCGTCAGTTTGTATGCAATCTAGTCTCCCAGTTTTCGAGATATCCGGATGGAATTCGGTAGGTGGGTGCATTTTTATATTGTATAAATCATTTGTTGGAACCGGAAGAATCGGACCACTATAACATATAGCTCCTATACAACTGAGTGTTCAGATATAAGGTTTTTATTATAACTCCTCCATTTAAGTAGCTAGGAACATGAAGTTTTTCACTGTTGTCACTCAATATCAGCAGAGTAATTTCAGTGAAAATGGCGAAGATCGGATCGCTGTAACCTATAGCCTCCATACAACTGATTGTTCAGATATGAGATTTTTTGCCATAACTACTCCATTTATGCAGATAGGAACAAGAAAATTCGCACCGTTTTCACTCATTATTAACAGAATATTTGCAGTCAAAATAACAAGGATCGGGTCATTACAACATATATCTCCCATACAACTGATTGTTCAGATATGCGATTTTTTGTTATAACTTCTCCATCTATGCAGCTAGAAACATGAAATTTCGCACTATTTTCACTCATTATAAACAGAAAATTTACAGTAAAATTAACAAAGATCGGGTCACTATAACCTATTTATAGCCTCCATACAACTGATTGTTTAGATATGGGGTTTTATTGTAAACTTCTTTATGTGGACAGCTAAAGCCGAAGAATTTCTTCAGCTATTTTATAAATAATAATACAAAGTCTACTGAGAAAATCGCCAAAATCTATGCTGTATAAGTTTTATCTCTTATACCACTGATTGTTCAGATACCAGTTTGTGCGATATATCTCCTTTATGAAGGATGCTAAACCCATTAAATTGTGTTACTGGTTTACATACCGATCACACAGCAGTTAAAATCACTTGGATTGGTGCTATATAAGGTATGTATATCTTCCATACCTCTGATTGTTTAGATATGATTTTTTATATATGTGTGAATATATAAATTTTTTCAAATGCAGTAATCTGTTAAAGTAAAATTTTCAGATGTTCATGAAAGGTGTGAAGCCTTCGGCATAGCCGAAAACAACGCTGCTCTTACTTTTTTTGTATTTTAACGCCTTGTTTCCGAAAATCGAGAACATTGTTGCGAAAATCCACGAAATTTGACTTTCTCATAATGTACTTAATTTCAATTTTTAAATAGCCTCATGTAGGACGTGCACACATGTAATTATATTGTAAATACCTTGTAATATACTGCGTTATACCATATCAAGTAACTAGACCTTAAGCATCGTGTAACTAGACCTTAAGCTATTATGCATTTATCGATAACTTTGTATCATGAGGATCCATTTTGAAATAAAAGCAAGCGTCATTATACAGAAAGTCACCGTCGAGGAAAGTCGACTAAAACCATTGGTGTTTAATTTTATTGAGAAAGCCTATTGATATTTCATCAGAAGTGGGCGTTGAGCCATAAAACTTCTTTTAATTTAAAAATGACTGAGGAAACAATAAGTGCGGAGAAGTATTCTCTAATGCAATTAAAGGAATGGTGCTCGGTTGTTGGACTTAGTGCAAGCGGCGCTAAGGCCTCGCTGGCCGCACGACTTAACGCGCTGTCGGCAGAAGCACGAGGGCTGTGTCCACAAATCGAGGATTACTATGGAGCGGAAAGTTATGAAAATCAAAGACAACGTGGAGACAAAGGAATTGAAAATGTTGTGGGCAACGATGCTGAAAGTACTCAAGGTAGAGACAAAGGTGCGACAAAGGAGACGGACAACGACGATGGAATGGTACAAGGCAGAGACAAAGGTGTTACAACGGAGACCGGCAACAATGAAAATGGCGACGAAGCAGTGTATATACAAAATGGCGTAGCTTGTGTACGTGGTGGTACATTCGTAAATCGTAAGAGTGCAGTCGGCCAAAAGGAACAAAATCACGATCAAACGAAATACTCCTCGTTGGTGCGCGACAACAATGAAAAAATTGACAAACTAAGGATTGAACTTTTGCAAAAAGAAGTAGAGGTACTGAAATTGAAAGAACAACTTTTAGAAAAGCAAGTGACGCCGGCAACTACAAGCGTTAGCAAAGGTGCGACCAACAATTTTGAAATGTTGAAGGAAGTTATTCCTAAGTACGATGGTGGCGATGACTTTGATGTTTGGCAAAAACAATTACTCCACTACCGTGAAATGTTTAAGTTGGACGATGCCATAATGGGTCTCATTGTTCATTTGAAGCTAAGGGGAGCAGCCTTAGCCTGGTATAATGCGAAGACAAGTTTTCCAGAAAATATTGACAAGTTGCTGAGTGAGATGAAGATTGTGTTCGCGTCATATGAGAACAAGTTCCAGAAGCGGCGCAAATTTGAAAGGCGCGAATGGTCGCATGAAGAAAGTTTCGCTAATTACTTCAACGAAAAGTGTGTTCTAAGTAGCGGACTGAATCTTAGCGATGGTGAGTTAGCTGATTACTTAGTAGAAGGAATTCCAGACAAACAGTTGCGCACACAAGCTAAAATGCAAAATTTTTCGACGGCAAGCGAAGTGGTTAAAGCGTTCCGTATGATCGAGTTACCAAAACAGTCAACTGCAGAGTCACGAACGAAGGAAAGGTTGCGATGTTATAATTGCAATTGTTCAGGTCATTACGCCAAGGACTGCCGTAAGCCAAAACGTGAGGCCGGATCATGTTATGCCTGCGGAGAACAGGGCCATTATGCAACAAATTGTAAGCAGTATAAGAAGCAGTCGACGGAAAATTCTTTTGTAAGTTATTTAAATTTAAATATTATAGCACAACCTAATACTGATATGTTTGTAGAATGCTTAGTTGACTCCGGGAGCCCTATAAGTCTAATTAAAGAAGTTTTGGTACCAGCAAGGGTACAGTTACAAAAAATTAAAAGTTGCTACTATGGATTAAATAAGTCTTTTTTGAATATAAATGGAAAGATCAAATGTTACGTGAAAGTTTTGAATAAAAACATTTTAATTGAACTTTTAGTGGTTCCTAATGAGTCTATTGATTATTCGGTGCTACTAGGAAGAAACTTTATAAATGCATGTGATGCAAAACTAAAAATTGGAAATGTTGAATTTTTGGATAGAACAGTACAATCAGGTGATGCAGATAATGTTACCGAAGTTCAGAAAATGTACAAAGCCGAGAATAGAAGCAATATAGATGAAACAAAAAAAAGTACGCATGAATATGTAAATAATGTAAAAGATGTTGATGAAAATCCGAAAAGTGAAAATATTGAAATAGATGTTGAGGATATGGATTTAACAATGCAAGTAGGCGTTAAAGACAATGTTAACGAAGTTAATGAAATGTGCGAGGCTGAGGGTATAAACGATACAGCAGTGACGAATGAGAACATATGTGAATTTACGAATTATAACAAAAATACTAGTGAAGATAATGAACTGAATGAGGCTGTAAATCAGATACTAGCAATTGATATATGTAGTAAAGGTCGCGCAGAATACAAGATAGGCGAAGAGGTAGCATATAAAGATCGAATACGTTTTGAAGAAATGTTTGATAGGATATATATCAAATCGGAAAGACTGGACAGACCGAGAGTAAGAAAAGAATTGCGGTTGGTTTTAGAAAGTGATAAGCCATTCAGTTGTGCACCTAGAAGGTTGTCGTATAGTGAGAAACAGGAGCTACAGAAAATTATTGACGAGTATTTGACAAAAGGGTACATACGACCCAGCGAATCAGAGTATGTCTCACCGATAGTGCTGGTAAAAAAAAAAACGGGCGAGTTACGGATGTGTGTTGATTACAGGAAGCTTAATAAGGTTACAGCGAAGGATAATTATCCCATACCGCTCATAGACGACTTATTGGACAGATTAGCAAACAAGATGATATTTACTAAATTGGATCTTAAGAATGGTTTTTTTCATGTATATGTAAGTGAAGAGTCAGTAAAGTATACTTCTTTCACGACACCATTAGGACAATATGAGTTCTTAAGGATGCCTTTCGGATTGAAAAACGCTCCGGCAACGTTTCAAAAGTTTATCAATAAAATTTTCGCAGACATGATTCGAAGTGGAGAGGTTATAGTATACCTAGATGACATTATGATTGCGACACAGAATTTAGAGCAACATTTTAGTATATTAGAGAAAGTTTTCCTAAGACTAGTATAAAATAATCTACAGCTACGGTTAGACAAGTGTGAGTTTTTACAGACGAAGGTGTCATATTTAGGATATGTTGTTACGGGCGAAGGAATACGAGCGGACGAAAAAGGGTTGAGAGCCATAGAAAATTTTTCGGTTCCAACTAAAACACAAGAAGTCCAAAGTTTCCTAGGATTGTGTTCATACTTTCGCAGATTTATAAAAGATTTTTCAACTATAGCTAAGCCTCTCTATGACCTTACAAAAAAAGAACAAAAGTTTAAATTCGGTGAAAAAGAAGTAGAAACATTTAATACTCTCAAAAAGAAATTGATAGAATCTCCAGTATTGGCTATATACGACCCGAATGATGCAACGGAGTTGCACTGTGATGCAAGCGCTTTGGGCTTTGGGGCGATTTTATTGCAAAAGAAAAAGGATGGGAAGTTACACCCTGTGTTCTACTTTTCTAAGCGCACGACGGACATAGAATCTAGGTATCACAGTTTTGAACTAGAAACGCTAGCGATAGTCTATGCTTTAAAGAGATTCAGAGTATATTTGCAAGGTATAAAGTTTAAAATTGTCACTGATTGCAATTCCTTGACCCTAACGCTTAATAAAAAGGACATGAATCCAAGAATTGCTAGGTGGGCGCTAGAGCTACAAAACTACGATTACGAACTTGAACATAGGATGGGAAAAAGGATGCAACATGTGGATGCGTTAAGTAGAACTAACAATGTTTTAGTGATTCATACAAACACGTTTGAAGAAAACTTAATCATATGCCAAAGTAGGGATGAATGCATAAATAAAATAAAGAGAGGTTTAGAAGAAACAGAAAGTAGTTATTACGAAATGAGAAATGGCATAGTTTACAAGAAAAACAACGACGATTTACTTTTCTATGTACCTGAGTCTATGGAAGAACATGTTTTATATAAGTACCATGACGAATTAGGTCATATGGGTGTGGATAAAGTGGTAGAGACTATAATGAAGAGTTATTGGTTTCCGAAGATGAGGATCAAGGCGACAACTCATATTCAAAACTGTTTAAAATGCATAGCTTTCTCGAATAAAAGTGGAAAGAAAGAAGGGTTCCTACATATGATTCCAAAGGGAAACAAGCCGTTTGAAATGGTACATATTGACCACTACGGACCGATTAATAGTAAAAATACAAAGTACAGACATATATTAGCGATAGTAGACGCGTTCACAAAGTTTGTCCGCTTATACCCAGCGAAAACTACTGCATCAAAGGAAGCAATTGTAGCGCTAAAAGATTACTTCAGATCATACAGCAGGCCGAAAATTATAGTGTCAGATAGAGGGACGTGTTTTACGTCTAAAGAGTTCGAGGAGTTTTTAGAAAATAATAATGTGCAACACGTAAAGGTTGCAACGAATTCACCCCAAGCAAATGGACAGGTGGAAATTATTAATAAAAGTCTAGGTCCAATGATAGCGAAAATGATAGATTCAGAAAAAGACATAAGTTGGGATAAGGTTTTAGAGTCGGTGGAGCACGCAATGAATAACACCGTACATAAAGCAACCAAAGAGCAACCTTGTGTAATGCTATTTGGAGTAAGACAAAAAGGCCAGATAATAGATAGCATCAGGGAAAATGTACTAGATTTGTTACAAACAAACTGCAGGTCTATAGAGGACATTAGGAGTCAGGCAGAAAAAGAACAACGGAAAGCTCAGGTTTACAATAAAGCTTATGCAGACGCTAGACGGCGAGAACCGGACAAATTCGAGGTAGGGGACTACGTTGTACTTTCGAAAGTCAATTCGCAAGTAGCGGTATCTAGTAAATTGATTCCAAAATTTAAAGGACCCTATAGGGTATCAAAGATTTTAGAAAACGATCGGTACTTAGTTGAGGACGTAGAAGGGTTTCAACAAACCCAAATTCCGTATAAAGGTACTTGGTCAGTCACAAACTTGAAACCGTGGTATCAAGGTAAAAAGCACAAAAGTAAAGAAAAGGGGATTGAAACAAAGATTGTAACAAAGAAATGTTAGATACAAATTGTAGAATCAGGAGATTCTATGTGTCAGGACGGCCGAGTTGTAGGACGTGCACACATGTAATTATATTGTAAATACCTTGTAATATACTGCGTTATACCATATCAAGTAACTAGACCTTAAGCATCGTGTAACTAGACCTTAACCTATTATGCATTTATCGATAACTTTGTATCATGAGGATCCATTTTGAAATAAAAGCAAGCGTCATTATACAGAAAGTCACCGTCGAGGAAAGTCGACTAAAACCATTGGTGTTTAATTTTATTGAGAAAGCCTATTGATATTTCACTCAAAATGTTCAGCGATGAAAAGGTGTATTCATGCACAACTTATATCGATGTTATTCATGGGCGTCGCTACGTAGGGGCAGGGGGAGGGAACGAACCAGTCCGATAGTAACTAGCAGTCCAAAAGCAGTGAAATGTGGTACTTTCACTAAACTATTCTATTTTAAATTTTAAAAGCAGGTAAGGTAATCATTATGAGTAAAATAATTTAAATCAACATTTAATCATTATTTTATGAATTATTATTGAGTTTTATTTTTTCGCTCAAACGGAAATAATTATTATTTGATTTTTATTTTTGGGATTACAAATAATGATTATTTTATGATTTTTATTTTTTCGCGAAGAGATTATCATTAATTTTCAGTTTTATTTTTCCACTTAAAAATAATGATAATTTATAAAATTGAAAAGGCCATAAAGACGCAACCTACTGAAATTTTTACTTGAAAAGTTTGGGTCTTATTCCTTTTATAAGGGTGCGGCTACTCTCAAAAGGATACGTCGGTAATCATGCTGGTATAGTTTTTGAGTTGCTTAACAATCACAATTGAGAAAGGCAATGCAGGTGCAGAAAGAGAGGCATTTAAAAAAAAGTGTCAAAATAATTACCACTTTTTCACGAAATTTATTTAAAAATGCAAGCCACCAGAGCTACCTTTTTTTTACGAAAAGACAAATTAATTTTTTTTTATGCAATCCACCACAGCTACCTTAATACAGTCAGTCAATAAAGTTTAGGTACAACGAATTTTTTACAATACGGGCAACTATTTTTTTAATATTTTAGTTTGCGGTAATTTTTTATAAAAATATGGTCAATTCTACAACAAAATCCCCAAAAATCAGAGTTCCAAACCTTGTGCAAAATTTAAGAAAACTCTGCAAAATTTCATTAAAATAATTCACTTTCTATTTACGCTCTCTAGAAACATTTTTTTAGCCCATTCAATTTTAGTATAATGAAGTGCAAGTATGAGGAAGCTAGGACTTACCAAACAACAAAAAAAAATAAATATCAAGTCCTAGCTACCTCAAACTTGCACTTTGTTATACTAAAATTGAATGGGCTAATAACTGAGTACTTAACTTTTTTCTAAAGAGTGTAAATGGCAATACTTGGATGGAAATTCGCAGAGTTTTCTTTAATTTTGCATAAGGTTTGGAACTCTGATTTTTGGGATTTTTGGTGTAGAATTAACCACATTTTTATAAAAAATTAGGGGGAAAAAAATATTTAAAAAATAGTTGCCGGTATTGTAAAAACTTCACTGTACCTAAACTTTATAGATTGACTGATTTCTTATTTAAGTTAAGTACGACAAAAACTTTCGAAGTACTTCATATACATATAAGCTTAAAAAGAACTGAATTTACTTAAAAATCAATATGCTTAAATTTAGACAAGTAAGACAAAGTGAACTAATATTTTTACTTTTAAGCAGAACGCACTTTTGTTTTTTTACTTACTACTTAAGTTTAATACTACTACTACTACTAATGTGGTTTATAAATTTTTAATAAATGCGTTTAAACATTTGTGATGGTATTGTCCTTCCTTCAACCGATCGTATTTAATATAAAAGGGAAATGTTTCGACAAGCCTGATTAGAAATATATATCTAAGGTGACGAATTTATAATAGGTTGGGAACTACACATAAAACATGGATGCAGATCGAACTAGATCTCATCTGTCGAATTAGGAACTGGTTTGGAACTAAAGAAAAGGGGATGCAGAACGAACTAGATCTCATCTGTCGAATTTGGAACTGGTTCGGAACTATAGAAAAAGGGATGCAACGGGGGACAATTGGCACTTCCTAGGACATCGCAATGTTAAATTCGCCAGTCGCTAGCATGCAAAAGAGAATTAACGCGTACTAGTCATGGTTTCAAACGCACTAGAACCGAACCAGTTCCGCACTAGTTTGTTTCCCTACAGGGCAAATATCGGACCAAAGTTATAATACCATTTCATGCTCATGAAAGGTATAGCTTTCAGATTTCAAATCGGTGAAGTAGGTAACAAAATATAAATTTAAAAATTTTCTTAACTTCTTCCCAGCGTATCTATTAAAATGTCATTTTCAAAAATTTCATGCATTGCTATGCCATGTCATTCCATCTCAAACATACTGTTATACCATGTCATTGCTTCTTAGCTCAGCTGTTGTTTGCTGTTGTGTTTCTGCAGCATATTTTTAATACTGTTTAATCCTGCCTTGTATGAAAATGTATATAGCAGGGGTGGGCAAGGCCGAGGCCGAAAAGAGCCAGATCTAAGTTATAAATGCTACAAAGAGCCACAAAAAAAGAGCAAGAAAAACACAAATTTTATTTTTAAATAAAATTATTATTAGAAATGAAAAACATTAATTTTATTATTATTCTATTGTACGTAAGATAGATATAAAAGAAAATTCAAAAGATCCCTTTGGCGAGATTTTCAAAATCTGGCTTTAGGTCAGTTAAAGCCGTTCGTAACAATTCTGTTAAATGTTGGATAGTCA